GCACCGAGTTGCCGCCATGTGATTGGCTGATTAGAAATTAAGTGTTAACGAGCAGTTGGACAGGTGTACCTAATAAAGTGGCCGGTGAGTGTATATATACACAGAGAGACAATTTAATTGAATGACTTTTGTCAAATGTATCAAGCTCGGCTTCTGAAACACTGTAGTTTTTTTATCCATGCACTGGAACCTCAGCTTCAAATGGCCCATCACTACTACAGAGATAAGGCAGGTCCTAAAGAGCCAGCTGATTGGCAAGAACAAAGTCCAAGTCATTATCATGAAGGCTGTGCCAGTTATCAGATGCCCAGGTAATGTAATAGCCTGACCAAAGGAGGATGTAGTTGACATAGAGACTCAAAGGTTCCTCACATTGCATGGAGGGTTTCACCCCAAGCCCAGCACTCTGCAGGGAGGCAGAGGACAATGAAACCACTACGATCCTGGAGTACATCAAGAGGAAAACCTCTGATGAAACCTGATCCAGACGTCCAAACAGATGATGACTAACCAACCAGATGTGGTCAACAAGCAAGAGAAGAAGGCAGTGGTGACAGATGTAGAGATCCCAAGAGACTGGAACATCATTCCTTAAGATGAACATACAGTAGATACTGTAAATACATAAACAAACATTTCATAGTATTCTATGAATTTGTGAAGTGTTCATACAAGTGTTGACCATTTACATAGTTTGAAGGAAGTTTCTGCAGTTCATCAAACTTACTCTTATTCTTCTGTCTATTCCAGCCTGGAGATCAGAAGCTGGCCCACAGTGCCCAGATGTACCACTACCAGCACCAGAAGCAACAAATGCTTTCCTTGGAGAAGTCAGTCGAGCTCTGTTCTGTTATATATGATATCCTCCTATTCATCGTTCATGTCCATGTGTCCCAAGTCCCATTTGTCCCCCTGCTTCTTGTCTTTCACAGGGTTTGTGTTCACTGTCTTGAATAGTTTTTGTGTTTGACCTCTGCAGAAACAGGGATGAGCCCAAAATTCCTGAATCTGGAGCATCAACAGATGAGGAGAACGAGGATGGAGATTTCACAGTGTATGAGTGTCCTGGACTGGCACCAGTGAGTTAACAGTCTTGTTATATTCTGGAAGGTGGTGTACTCCATTAGCTCAGAGCATTCTGCTACAACATTCATTCAATCTGTCTGAAGTCTTTAGGTAGTATTATACACTACCTAAGACACTCTTTAAATGATTTATTTGATCTGTTTTTATTTCCAGGGTGAAATGAGTGTATAACATCTAAAAGAAAAAAATTGTATAGGTCTTCTGGACGGGTTCTTCTCTAATGAAACGTTTCGTCTCTCCTCCAAGAGACTTCTTCAGTCTGAGAGTTTCAGGCTAAATTCAGGCTTTTAAAGAGTAACTTACCCCCAAATCAACTTTTTTTAGCTGATAAAC